GGCGGCCGTCGCCGATCAACGGCGGTGGCAAGGCGGCGAGAGGAGGCCAGGGCGAGATTAAAATTTTTTTAACTTTTATAGCGGCTCTTGACCCGCGCCTGGACCCGACCCGGTTTTGATGGACCCGCGTGTTTTTGCAAGAAGCGAGAGATTTGCGTTTTGGTTCTCCAGTTTCAAAAACCTTTAATTTGGTCCTCTGAATCGATTATTGAACCCGAAATCCTTGTAAATTGACCCTTGAGTTTATTTCGTTTTCAATTTAGTCCCTACTATTATTATATACTATATTTTCATTATTATTATATTTTTCCTTTATTTATATATATATATATATATATATATATATATATAATATATATATATATATATTATGTATATTTTTATTTTATTTTATTATACATATATATATATACACGTAATCATCGTTATTTTTATTATTTTAAGTATTATTGATAGCGTATATAAACATATATTTTTTTCCTTTTATTATTATCTGTATATTTATTTCTATTCATTTGTTTTATTTAATAATATATTTGATATTTATATATTTTTCGTGTTTTTTACATCATTATCGTTTTCATTTTATTCTACTTTATATTTTTTATTTTATTTTCATTATTCCTTTTTTTTATATGTACATATTTGATTATAGTTATTTATTTATTTTAGTTTTGTAGTTTTTATTTATTTATTACTATTATATATATCTTTTTATTTTTCCCATTGTTTATATCTTTATTATTATTACCATCATATATATTATTTTTATATTCTATATTTTCCTCATCTTATTTGTTTTCCATTTTACTTTAGGTGTTTTATTTGCATTCCTTATCTAATATATGTCTTGATCTTTTAAGGGTACAATTTAAGCAATCTAAGGTAAGTAATTTGGATCGTCATTTTACATTTTAATTTAAATTTACAACTTTCTTAATTAAAGACAACTGGAAATTACGTAGTACCGAAAGGGCAGTTCAAGGGTGCTAATCCTTCCTTAGCTGTAACCGACTCCCGAATCCGACATATCCTTGGTAAGACGCAGATCAGGTAAGATATAAGGTATCCGATTAACCTATTTATTTTTAACTAAATAATCGGTGGCGACTCCAATCCATTTTTCAAGTCGAAGCCCAATTCCGGGGCTCAACCGAAAGACGGTTGCGACACTAAGGATAATGAAACTGTTCCTATCCTTAAAAGAGGTAGAGGTAGGCCTCTTAAAGCTAAATCTAAGGTTGTTTTAAAAGGATCAGCTAATAGATTTGAAATCCTAAGCACTGTTGATGAGAACCCTTCTTCTGTTGAGATTCAAGTTAGGAAACCAAGACCTGCTGCCTCAGGGGTTGCTAATCTGATTAAAGAGCTTAAATTAAAAAAGAAAGAGGACACTGCTAAAGTTCAAAGTTCTGTAAATAGTGAACAAGGGGGTGACCCCATTTATCCTTCTCAATGATAATGTGTTTTTGGAACATAAGAGGATTAAATAATCCTCAAAAAAAGATTAATGTCCTTAATAGAGCCAAGCTTTTCAATGTTGATATTCTTTGTTTGTTGGAGACTCGTGTCAAGATTGAAAATTCTGTTAATATCTTTCACTCTAGATTTGGGGATTGGGGTATGATTATCAACTATGACTCATCTACTAATGGTAGGATCTGGTTCCTCTGGAAGACAGGAATTTATATTTCCTTCTGTCATTCTACTTCTCAAAGCATCACTGTTAAATGCAATTTCAATAATGAACAGTTTATCACCACTGCTGTTTATAGGAACAAAGATGGCCTTTCTAGGAGATTTCTTTGGCAGCACCTAAGATATCTTAATATCTCTTTTGGCTCTCTACCTTGGGTTCTAGGGGGAGATTTTAACACTTATCTTAACCCTAAGGAAAGTTCTGATTTTGATCTTTTAGGGCCTTATTACTCCTCTGATATGAAAGATTTCCATGATGTTTTATATGATCTTCAACTTTGTGATCATCCTTACTTGGGTCATTCTTTTACTTGGAGTAATAAGAAAAAAGAGATTTATCTTGCAAGAAAACTTTACAGAGTGCTTATTAATCCTCTTTGGTCATCTTCCTTCTAAAAATCTTTTGTTGAATTCATTGCTCCTGGACCTTCTGATCACTGTATGGCTCTTATCTGGTTAAGTAAAGATATCCAAGCAAATCATCCCAAGCCTTTTAAAATTTTCAACTTCTGGGCTAAACATCAAAATTTCCTTACTGAAGTTCAAAACTCTTGGCAGCAACCTACCCAAGGAAACCCTATGCAGAGACTGTTTCACGAATTAAAACGCCTGAAACCTTGTTTACAGTCTTTAAACAGAGACTTCTATAGTGATATCTCTGCTGGAGTTAAACTCAAGAAAGCTTAGCTTGATAATATTCAAATCTCAACTCTTAGTGGCATTAGTCCTATTGAAAAAGAATTGAATGTTCAAAATGAGATGTTTTCCCTTGAAGAAGCTGAAAATTTGTTTCTTAAATAGAAAGCTAAAGTCAAATGGATCAAAGAGGGAGATAGATGCACCAAATTCTTTCATTCCGTCATTGCAAACAAACATAAAAGAGACACTATCAGAGTTCTCATTAATGCACAAGGACAAAGATTGGAATCTTTTGATGGTATGGCTACTGAAATCTTAAATTACTTTAAAGCTCAACGTGGAACTGTTGATCTTGGTGTTAAAAAAATTGACCCCTCCTTCTTGAAAAATCTGCTTCATGTCAATCTGTCCTCTGAAGCTGTTTCTTACTTAACCAAAATCATCACTTCTGAAGAGATAAGAGAAGCAATCTTCAACCAAGGAAATGACAAATCTCCTGGCCCTGATGGGTTCACCCCTATTTTCTTTAAGAGAACTTGGAATGTTGTTAGAGATGATGTTATAAATGTTATCAAATTTTTCTTCAAGGAAACATACTTACTGCCTACCCAACTCAACTATTATTTCCTTGATTCCAAAGATTCCTAATCCTAACAAAGTCAAGGATTTCAGGCTAATTTCCTGTTGCTCTGTTGTTTACAAAATTATCTCTAAAATCCTTGTCAAAAGAATGACTATGCTACTGCCTGACATAATTTCACTTAACCAGACTGCTTTTTTCAGAGGAAGAACTATAATTGACAACACTCTTCTAGCTCAAGAACTTGTAAAAGGCTATGGGAGGAAGAATATCTTTCCAAGGTGTGCTCTAAAAATTGACCTTCAAAAAGCCTTTGATTCTCTTCATTGGGACTTTATTTCAGCTGTTCTAATTGCTATTGGACTGCCAAACAACTTCATAAACTGGATTGAAGCATGCTTCAAGGAAGCTAGATATTCAATCTCCTTAAATGGTAGCTTGATAGGATTCTTCAAAGGTCATAGGGGAATTAGGCAAGGAGACCCTTTATCTCCTATTTTATTTGTTCTTGCCATGAATATCCTCTAAAAGATCCTAAACATTGCTGTTGTTAGGGGATTATTTGGATATCACCCAAAATGCAAAAAAATGGACTCACTCATTTATCTTTTGCTGACGATCTCTTAATTTTTTACAAAGGAAACATTGATTCTGTTGTTGGTATCCTTACTGTTCTTAATCACTTTTATAGCTTGCCTGGTCTTAAGCTTAATGTTAATAAGACTGAATTGTTTGTTGTTGGTATTTCGCATAGAAATCTTGAAGCTATTAAATCAATCTCTGGGTTTAAACAAGGATTTCTGCCTGTAAGGTATTTAGGGGTACCCTTAGTCACTCGAAAACTGAACATTCAAGACTGTCAGCCTCTTATTGACAGTATTAAATCTAAACTACTTCTTTGGTCTGGAAAATTGCTCAGTTATGCTGGAAAATTTGAATTGATCAAATCTGTTCTTTTTAATATTTCAAACTATTGGTGCAGACAATTCATGCTTCCTCAGTCGGTTATTAATAGAATTGACCATCTTTGCACACGTTTTCTTTGGAGGGGACCCGATTAAGCGGTTGCTGGAGCCAGAATCAGTTGGAAAAATATTTGCTGCCCAAAATCAGAAGGTGATCTCGGTTTTAAAAGTATCAAAATATGGAACAAGGCTTGCATGATTCAGTTAATTCAGAACATTCTTGCTGGAGAAGGTTCACTTTGGGTTGCTTGGATTAAGTTATATGTGATCAAGAACAAAGATTTTATTGACTTCAGTGAAAGTCCTACTCACAGCTGGGGCATCAAAAAACTGTTAAAGCTAAGGACAGAAGCTATTCCCATTCTCAATGCAGGTGCATTTAAGACTAAGGAAATATGGGAAGAAATTAAAGAAAAGAAGATCAAGGTACCATGGCACAAAGTGGTTTGGTTTTGTCTCCATATTCCAAAAACAAGTATGATAAATTGGATGCTATTCATGATAGACTTCCAACTCGTGCCCGACTATCTCGGATGGGAATTCAAACTGATGAGTTATGTGTCTTCTGCAAAGAGGAAATTGAAACTAGAAACCATTTGTTTGTTGACTGCCACTTTGCTAAATCTCTCTGGAACTCCATATTGCAGCTCACTCATTTACGTAAACCCCACATGTCCTGGGAAACAAGGCTTGATTGGTCTTGTAGAGAATGGAAAGGTAAATCCCTCATCTCCACTGTTTTGAAGATTGCATTGAATGCTTACATTTATTTCATTTGGAAAGAAAGAAATAGAAGAATCTTCCAAAATAGAAATAGAGAAGTGGAGCAGCTTTTGAAGAACATCAAGGAGCAAGTTAGAATCCAGCTAATGGACAAGAAAATCAATAGACTTGATGATGTTAATTTTATTCTATGTAATTATTGGAGTATTGACTAATTTTTGTTGTAATTAACTGGTTTACTCCCTCTTGGGAAGTTTCTTGTTTCCTGTAATGTTGCTTTGGATAATAAAACTCAATTCAATTTATCCAATAAAAGAAAGTAGATACATTTTTAAAGGGAAGAACGTTCGATAACAGACGTTAAACGTGCAACTGAATTGAAATTTGTTTCACAGATTTCAGCTTGCAAGAATGGCTTTCCAATGTATCAGAAGCTTCTCCAAGAAGAAAGAGGGAAACTTTATCTGATCTAAGACCAAAATAGTTTTTGGTCCATAAAATTAATTATTCTAGCTGAATATTGTACACTGCTGTGCTGAAATTGAAGCAATGCCGCGACAGTGTGCTTGGATACAGAAGCAACTATAATAGTGAAAGGTACGAATACACTTATAAATTCATTTGTTGTATCAAAAAATATATAGATAATATATAATTTTTATGTGGGTAATGTTATGGGAAAGCTTTAAAACCATGGATGAACATTTTAAATTAGTCAAAACCAGAAAACAACTTAGCTTAATTTATACAAATATTTCATCTGTTAAATTGCAGTTTTTGTTTGTTTCCTTTTTGCAGTTTTTATCTAAAACAACTCGTCACCTGGAAAGCTCAACAAACAGATAGCTAGCTTAGTAGTATAAAGCCAATATATACAAATACACGAAATTGTTTATATATTCAAGCATTCTTTCACGATTTTGAGTGTACATCTTTTGTATTACGTGACAATTAATGTTTAAAATTAAACAATTTGATCTCTGTCTCTAGGCCTTTTGGTGATCTTTTTCTATTGTTTTATTCAGTATCAGAAATCACAATGGCACCATTAGCAGCACAATTTTGAAGGATTTTATGAAAGCTGCCTATTACTATCCACGTATGCAAACACACACACATACATATTATATGTATCATGTATGTGTTTATGTATAAAAGCTGACTGAATATATATAACTGTAAACCTTACGAGCTTAAGAGACTAGTATAGACATACAGGAGCTGTTTCTTTCACAACGAAAAGCCAAACACACTTTTTAAAGCAAACACACAATCATACAGAGTCACTAAGACAGTATTTTGGTTCATTTACACAACTTAATCCGAAGCCACCCCAGATTCAATCATCATCCTCATCCTCATCTTCTTCGTCCTTCTGCCATTGCAGATAAAGGTTACCATATTGAAGCTTTAAAATTTTGGAGCGATTTAGTCTAGGAAAGTGTATTTAGCTTAAAATTTTACCTCACTCTCTTCATCATCCTTGTCATTCGCTTGGGATTTTGATGATTCGGAATCGGCTTCTTCCTCATCATCGGTAGTTTCCTGCATTCGACAGTATAATGTCAAGAAATCTAAGAGGATGAATTTTGCATTTCGAGTACTGAATGACTGTAATCTACCTGTTTCTTGTTGTAGTCTGCCATGAGCTTCTCGTATTCCAATTTCCTTTTTGCTGCTTTTGCTTTGTATGGAGCTTTCTCCTACCAATGGCAACCAACAGAGAAAGATCGTTTAAGGGTTTGAGGCTGATTATCGAAACAGTTTAGTATGAAACGACAGATAGAGGATAGAACTTACAAACAAGTCTATTTTCGATTTTCCCATAACTAGTTAATTTGACTAATTTATATATGTGACAAATCCACCATCCCATGCAATACCATGCATCTATGTTCCCTGTAGTTTATACCAGAATGGCAGAATGACAGTGGTGTAACCATGCCATAACAGTTCCAAAGACGTCGAACATGTGATCGGTGCATAGCTTTGTCCAGATGAGCCACAGTGGAAGTTTTATGCATCACCTTTACAAACAGAATCCATGGTATTTTCCAAGTTAAGGGCAACCATCGATCAGTGGAGCCATCGACATAATTCCTTGTCCATGCAAATCCCCAACCAACACAAGCAATTTGAGGTGAAAAATCTAGAAACTTACTTCATTCGACATCGATTTCCACTTTTCCCCCCCTGCTTTGCCCACCTTCATCACAATATCCGGAAACGAAATCATGTCAACAATCCGAAAAAAGGGATACAAACACATGAAGCAAACATATGACAGCAGATTATTACTTACAGCTGAGACAGCCTTCACTTTGGGATGTTCTTGTTTGTAAATTGTTCTAAACTCTTCCCTGCAAATCAAAATCATAGTTTGAATTATATCTTTGCATATGAACTGAAAGTTTCAAACGTTTTGCTACAAAAGAAGCTCACAGAAAAACAAAGAAAGCAGTGGCAGGTCTCTTTGGTTTATTCGGGTCTTTCTTGGCTGACGTTACGTTCTTTGAGCGTTTTTGGTCAATCTTATCAGCTCGGCTTGCCACCTTTCGCTTCCCTACGATCCTAGAAGCAAAGAAATTCATACATGATCCATATCTTGTCTGCAATATACAACATGAAATAACAAGAATTAATGAACTAAAACGCAATATATAAGAATAGTGTTACAAACTTGTTCTCAGCAGGCTGTTTTGCTTCCTTGCTGTCCTTCCTTGTTGCAGCTGCTCTACTCCTTGCCGCCTTCATTCTTACAAAGAAAAGCTTCCTGAAATGAAATGACTTCATTAAATGAAAAAAAAAATCAAATAAACTGACGTCATAAATCTGGTTTTAATTGATTACAGTCAACATGGAAGACAACTTTCAATTAGCAATTTAGGATTTATTGAAGTTCCATTATTATTGTGCTTAAAGTAGTGTTCTTTGCAGCATATTTCTAACAAAAAACAAAATCTTTGGAAAATTTCCAAAAGAAAATAATTATAATCTCACTAAAAGGTAACAAATTTCTGGGAAACAAGCTTGTGATAGAATATGAAAATCAAAGAAACCATAGTTGCTATTATATATTATCAACAAAAGCTAAATAAAGCTAGATCGTTGAGGATCATAACAGAAACACTTTTTTCCCCCAAAGAATAATTAAAACTGAGAAAAAAAATAAACAATTTTTTTAAAAAGGTATATATTAGATCAGATAATATGCATAAATTTGTTAAAGGAATAACATACCTCTTCAATGGAAGAGAAAATAAAGAAAGAAAGAAACTAGAGAAAATAAAAAACAGGGAGTAGCAGGAAAGAGAATGGAACCAACTAAATGCAAAGCAAAGAAAGAGCAGGAGACGACAAGAAGATATTTCTGAGTGGGTCCATTTAGGTATTTAAATTCGATTTGGTTGGTTTTATTTAATTAAAAAATTAAGATTTAATTCGATTATTTTAAGACATTGGTTTAACCCGACAATCAACTTAATTATATTACTAATTCCATGAATGGATTAAACTCGAATTTAACTGTAGGGCCTAGGTGGACGGAGATTAGAGTGAGAGGATGCAGTTGACTGTGGGTTGGAATCAAAACCAAGTGGCGGGTTTTTGCAATAAGTGTTCATTCCCCGTCCAATGTTTTCATGGTGCATGTTAATAGGTCTCTCTTAAGCGTATTTATCCTTCGAACTTTTTCTGTCGTCTTCTTCATCCGATTCCTTCCTTTCCGTGGAATTCAGCAGATAGGTAAAATGTGACCGCTTGACAGCGATTGCATATAGGTATAATTTTATGGATTTTTTTAATGTTTGTTTTAATTGAAGCGAAGATAAGTAGTGGATTGGTGTAGATATAAAAAGTTATATGCGTAATAGGTAATGAGTTTGAGATCTTATCCTTCCCGTATCTACTCGTCTCGCATAGGTTTGCTGTGCATTCGTCCACCCCACATTCGTTCGACTACTAACTACCCATCACATAAATTTTGGATCATTATAAATTTAGGTATAATTTTAGATTTATTCTGTAAATCTTAAGATTTTATAGGACATGACTAGTAATTTAACCAAATATTAGAGTATAAACATTTTTATAATTGAATATGGTCGTTTCTCCTATCTCAAATTGACGGGTATCAATGGGATACATACAGGTATAGGATGGGTGATGGATATCTAGTTGGGTAATGAGTGTGGGATGAATTTGAAAATGTACTCGCATGGGTAGGTGTGGATTTAAAAATTTTACCGGTCATGGATAGTGGGTAGATGATGAATACAAAAATATTAGGTGGGTAAAAAGATGGAAGAAGAGATATTCGCACCCGTCCCACTCGTTTGCCAACCATACTGCTTGATGTTAGCCATAGTGGATTTTTCAACGTCGTCTGTTTTCTTTTGTGTGCCCATGATTAAATATACTTATTGTATAAGTCAATCACGAGTTAAATAATATTTGATTTGATTTAAAAATTATTTCATTCATATTTGACTTGACTTGACTCATTATTTGTTAAATTCAATAAAATTTTATTCAATTTGTGCTCGTTAAGTTCCCAAAATTTTTACTTTATTTTTTAATATACATAAAGTCTAATACTAACATATAGAGTTTAGTATAAACATAAATTACTAAATTTAACAAGAAAAACAATTAAGATAGTATGTGAAGCAATTCAAAGTCCAATACTTTAAATTAACAAATTACAAGTACACCAAATTAATATCTTATAACTAGAAAACAATTCACATATACACTAAATTAATATCTTAAAACTAGAAAAATAAGTTACACATACACCAAACTAACATATTATAACCATTTTTGAAAAAAAATTTAACAAATCATTATCAAACTTGAAAATAAGACAAATTTCTTAAAAATTTATATATAAAAATTAAAGAGTTGTTCGTGAACATATAGAATTGAGTTGAGTCTTATTCAACTCGATTTGTTAAAGTATCGATTCAAATTCGAATTTGAGTCAAACCAATTCAAATTAAGTGTTGATCGAATCAAAAGCGAACTATTTTCACGCCCTTATGCGAGGTTCACTCTTCTTTTTGCTGAACTTTTCGTAGGACATTCTATCATTACCATGGGGATTTTCGTTTATGTGGGTTTAGGGGTAAGGATGATAGACATTGCGAAAATGACTATTGTGTGTTTGATGTTGTATTTCTGTTTGAATTTACAATTGAATTTTCAGTCGGGTATCAGGTTTGGAGGCATATACTGTGAGGATGTTGGTAGATGAAAATTGTATGCCTGTTATAGTAAGGCTGAATTTAGTTTAGGCTAGGACTGTAAATGAGACGAGACAGATCGCGAGTTACTCGAGATCGACTCGGTCAATGTTCGATAAATACTCGGATTGAATGAACTCGGCTCGAGCTCGAGCTCGACTCGAATTCTTAAAAAGCCGAAACGAGCTGTTTGATACTCGACTCGAAAAGCTCGTGAGCAACTCAAAAATATAATATATTAAGATTTTATTTTTTTAAAAATAAATTATTAATAATATTAACATTTATGTGTTACTTTTTTTTAAATATAGTAAGACTTTTATGTATTTAAGATTTAGGTTCGAGTTCGAGTTTGAGGCTTTAATCTAGTTAAGTTTAAGATTTTTTTTCATTTCGAGCCTTTTCGAGCTGCTCACGAGCTTCAGTTCAGGATTTTGAGTTCGAGTCGAGCTTAAAAATTTTAAGCTCGCGAGTTTTCGAGTCGAGTCTAGCTTCATTTCAGAGTTTTTGAGTTGAGTCGAGCTCAGTAATACTTGAGCTCGACTCGACTCGTTTACACTCCTAGTTTAGGCCCTCTTTTAAAAATCAGTTATGAACCTGACATAGGACACTTAATTGACACTTATAGAATATAATTATATATATATTTAAGATGTTTAGAAACATAGATTTTAAATTAAGTCACTGCAAACGTTAAATTATCCAAGACAACTTCTTCCTCTTCTCTTGATTTTTTTTTTTTTTTGAGATATACGAATTCTTTGAGCCAATAAGCATGAACTTCATTGATGTTGAAGAGCTTAATCAGGGAAGGAGCTCTCTTAGGCCCAAGGCCCTGGTCTGCTAAAATTTATATATTCAATATAATTTTAATTTAATATTATTTTAATTCATATAAAAATAAATATTTAAATTTAAAAATATAAAAATTTATTAAATATTTAATCAAGTAAGGTTCAAATTAAATAATGATAAGTCAGTGTTCTCAATTTTTTTTGTCTAATTACAGTTTAAGTAATTGTAAGTTTAAATATTAACTAAATTAGAAGTTATCTTTTGAGTTTTGAGTTTTGTTTTTTAATTTAGGGTGAATACAATGTAATATTTGTACAAAGACTTTCAATTATTTGACAATGAGCGCTCATACCCCTACATAAGTGCTTGAACTTGGGACCTCAAGGATAACAACAATCCCTTAATCATTAAGGTCGCTTGGTTAATGCTGAATTTCGAGTTTAAATACCTAATAAGTCTTTATATTTTTCTTAAATAGTCTAATATTTCGATCCCTGTCAATATTTAATTATGGCTTCGTCACTTGACTTAATTGGCATAAACTTTAGAAATTCTAAGTGGGCCGATACGATAATGGTTTATAAGTTTTTTGGGCCATTATCCTTGTCCCATATTGGATGAAAGTAATGCTTTCATTCTAAAATATAAATTCATGAATTCAAAATTTTATTTGATTGCCGATTTAATTGCTATTAAAATTTTAACTTTTAAGACTTGAATAAGTAGAGTTATAAATGTTGTAGGTTAGATGAATAAAATAATTTTAATAATATGCGTGCCGTTTACAATACTATTTTTTTTAATATTCTGTAATTATTCAATACTTAAGTTTAAATTAATTAATCAATTGATGAAATAATTTTTATTATTAACCCATGATCCTATTCTTCCACTCTACTCTTTACTTTTGACATTTTTTAATTATATTCTAGCTGTATGATTACAATATAGCTAGAATGGATTATCAAACTAACTTTTTGTAAAATATTTGTTTATTACTCATTATTTTACTAATGAAAAAACAACAATGATGGAACCACAATAAGCATAAGTCTTGGATTTATGAATTTATATGAATTTATTTTTTTCAAAAAAATAATTTGAAACTTGTTTAGAATCAAAGGTCCAAATCATCCAGGAAATGTTAAGCAATCTTTGAATTATTTGGCATGTTATGCGAACGCCATTTTCACCCTTATGTCATTAATCCAACAATTCAGGTAAAAGTTAATCATCTCAAATCAACTTGCTGCTGTTAATGGCTCACCATTGATTGGAAGGTCCAACAGCACAGCTACATCTTTATATTTGTCGCATGAGAGATGAGAAGTATTAAATCTATCATGATTGTTATTAAGGACAGAGTCAAGATTTCAACTTAAATGATAAAATATAATTTTTCTAAATTTGAGAAGAGACATAATTATTTTATAAATATTTAAATTTTATATATAAATTAAATATAAAAAAAATTTTGGCTGTGGGCCCCACAGCGCCTCCCAAGCTCTCTGTCCCTCGTTGTTGCAAGGGAAGATACATGTAGTTCTTATAATTTCAAGTAAAAAATTAAGAAAACTAAAGAAATGGAAAGATTTTCGAGAAAGGCAAAACTTGTATCATCCGTAGAATACACGTCCGGGAGGTTCTCACTTTTCAGAGAAAAAGGGTAAAATAAATGGTGGAACGTGATAGCTTCTTTGGTGGACCACTTTTCTGGTTAATTGAACAATTGAGGACACCAAAGCATAAGCAAAACAACAGAGAAGGAAGGGCAAGTCAGCAAGGCATTAAAAAACAATTACTTTATAATCATCCCAAACTCCAAAGCTATACCCCTTTCTTCCCTTCACTTATAATCTTCCCTTTTCTGGTATTTCAGATGCAATCCATTTAATTTCCTGCATTTCTGACTACCCTTTTCACCGATCATCCATCATTTCTTTATTTTCTGTGATAATCATATTACTGTGTTCAAAGTTCTCATTTTTTCTTCCTTTCGAGCATCCCAAAATAAAAAGTCTCTTTGTATTTCTTCTTCTTCTTCATCTGTGTTTTGTAAAGATTTGGTTGGTAGTGGATACATGGGGAGGTTATTTTTGGTGAATCTTGAAGGGAAGGTTTATAGCTGCAAGCACTGCAAAACCCATCTTGCTCTTTGTGATGATATCGTCTCCAAGGTTCCTTTTTTTTTCCTCTTAAATTTGATTCCTTTAACTTTTGTATGAAATCTTTGTTGGGTCCCTTGGTTGATTAAATTGAGATGTCTTCTATTATTAAGCTAGGAATTTCGTATTCCATTTTGGTTTTTTTTTTTTCTGACTTGATGATGCATTGGAATTAGTATTTGTTTTGCAAGTTCAATGGTTCTACTATGTTAATTTTATCATAGATAAACTGGATGCTGTGAGGATTTCATCTCTTTGTAGGCATAGAATATAATTTGGTGTCCTCTGCAAGGGTTTGGATCTTTGATGATAGCAAATTGTTGGCATTTTAATACAAACATGATGTTAAATGTATTTTATTTTGCTTTAGTAAGGACTTGTGCTAGAGACAAATATGGTAGATTTTGCATATTTGGTTCTACCGGTGTAGTCGTAAAACGACGCTACTGTGAAAAGAAGACAGTGAGTGTCATATGCACTCAAATCGCTTGAAAGTTATAATGCTTATACTTGACCTAGAAACTGGGTAGTGGATGATAACTATGGTGGTAAGGAATGAATTTTTTTTATCGCCAAAGTAGTTATATATTTCATATGTATATCGGTGTAGTTGCTTATTCTGGGTTGGTCTTGGGGGTGCTTTCACATCGGTACTAACGATTTTTATGGTGCTGGAGAAAAAATTGTTTGGGGTTCTCTTATGAGCACAGTTTGTAACCAAGTGTTTTGCCTGTGTTGTTTTATTCAGTCCTTCCACTGCAGGCATGGGAAAGCATATCTCTTCAGTAAGGTGTAAGTTTCTCGGTTTAGATACCCCATTGGTATTGTTAAACAACTACTCTAATGTTTACCTATGATATAATTATAAGGCGTTGGCTAGTTCTATAAACAAATAACGATTGCGGTTATCAAACTATGTTGTACTCGTAATCTCTTGATTAACAGGTGATGAAAAATTGTGCTTGATGAATTTTTTGTTGGTTCTAGTAATTTGTTTTGTTCACTTAGAGCTAGTCAATAGCATTGCATTTTCAAATCCCACTTGCATAATCTTTCGAGAAAATGAGATTTTGAGTTATCGGAATAGAATGCTTGTTTTTGTGTGTTGCATTTTGAAGGATATATATTCCAAGGATGGACTTTGTGGACATCCCACTTGCATGACCTTTCGAGAAAATGAGATTTCGAGTTATCTGTATAGAATGCTTGTTTTCGTTTGTAGTTTTCATCTCCCATTGTTTCTCAGAGTAAACATTTCTTCTGGAGGGAAGGAAGATAGAATGATGATGACGGGGTTGCACACCGTGGCGGACATCTTCTGCGTTGGATGTGGATCGATTGTGGGGTGGAAATACGTAAGCTTTTTAGTATTGCATTTTCGAAATTCATGGTTTATTGTATCAGTTACTTGTTGCTGTTGTTTACGAGGACTGTTTCTTTTAGGAATTTGCCCATGAGAAGAACCAGAAATACAAGGAAGGAAAATCCGTCCTTGAGCGGTGAGTAAATAAATCAGAAATATAGAAGCTTCGAATTCGGACTAGGGAAGGAGGTTCTTAACAGAGGTTTCTGGATCTTGGTGTTGAAAAGGTTTAAGGTGTCTGGTCCGGACGGAAGCAATTACTGGGTCAGCCATGGTAGACACGTTGGTGGGAGTGATGCAGATGATGTTTGATGAATATGGTCAAATTCGAAACTGTACATTCATTATCCCCTTAAATCTCATTAAACTCTCATGTGAATCCTTAAAAACCAGAAGTACTTAAGCAGCTTGCTCAACTCGCTGTGGGAAAAAAACCAAACATGATTGGAAAACATTGAATTGTTGATTATGTTTTAGCTAATATTGAAGCCTGACCAGAAATATTGGTGAACTTCATAGTAAGATTTTAATACAAAATCATAATATGCGGCATATAGAAAAGGATAAAGATTTGGTCTAACGACCCAAATTGTGTGATAATATTAAATATGAAACGACATATGTTGGTGACTACAAAAGGAAAGCATATCCGAATGCCTAAATTAAAGAGATCCATCCCACACGGTTTCAATTTGCCAACCAACCGAACTTTGTTTACAACAACTTACACCTCCAAAGTTTTTTTATGATAAAACTAATTATAAGCTGGTTCAATAGAATAAAATATTATTTTTTAAAAAAAAGCATGAACGTTGTAAATGAAGTAAATTAGATTGTTGTAAATGAAGTAAATTAGATTGAAGATTATAATGTGTCATTTTAGTATCGATGTTGTTTCAAAATATTTGTATTACTTGTGTAGCATCGAAATGTAAACTCTAAATTAGCTAAAATTTTCTAAGCAGTCCTCCAATTATGCAGTGTTTGTGATATAACATCTAAGTTTATAATGCTTGCACATGAGTCCCTGTTTGAGTATGAATGATTGCAAACCTCTGATTTTGTCGGTTTTCAAATTGGAAGGATGCTACCTCGTGGACAAGTAGATGCCAAGTGACTCAAAATGTTGAGTTCCAGATTTCCAAAAGGAGACAAATGCTATTTACGCCAAAGATTAAGAATAAAAGATTGGTAGATTGTTCTTTAGAAACTAGCTTTAGAAGTTTTGATATACGTTGTGGAATAATCCAAGATAAGTTGATATCAGTTCTAAAGGAAATGAAGTAGATTGTTTGGTTAGCAATACGGGATGCCAGATGAGTAGTGTACCGAGGTGTTAGAATAGAGCGTGCACTGTCGAACGCCGGTGTTAAAATATAAAATAAATAATATTTATCGTAATATATGCAAGCAAATCAGAGTGGCGCAGCGGAAGCGTGGTGGGCCCATAACCCACAGGTCCCAGGATCGAAACCTGGCTCTGATAGCCTTTTCTTGTTCTTCACTCTTACCTCCTTTTTATCATGTTCTTTGTTACCTCTGCATTTCCAATATTTTCATCAGTTGCAGTATTTTACAACAAACCTACTCCTCTGTTAGTGAAAGATTGATAGCTTGAACGAACAAACAAACAAAAATGGTGAGGAGCAGGAGGGATGGAATTCTTTCCTTGTTAAAGAATGGAAAACCATTTGGATAAGAATTCTGGGAATATTATCCTAAAAACACACTAATTTTGACATAGAAAAATTGTGGTGGTATGTTACACATTTAGGAACTTTACAGTTTGGATGTTCTTCAATCTTCAAGCATGTATCGGTTTCGCCTTGCACCAAATGCTAGTCTCTGCATCACGAGGGCAGCCAAAAGCACATAAGTGAATTTTTTTCTACTTTATGACAGCAGAGGTTAAAATATTTGATGCCAACAAGTTCGGAAATCATGACAGATAAGAGAATTTGCTTCATTTCTTAACTGAAAATATCTGGGAGTAGGCTTTCAAGCCAGTGAGGAACCGGATATAAGTTGGCTTCCACGATCCACTTGCTGGGATCGACCTGATGTTCGGCACAAGGTAGTCTGCAACCTGTGCCCAAGACCAAATTCCCCAGAACAGAACAATACATAAAGGCAATTAATGAAAAAGAAAGAACAAAATTGACGAAAACGAGTATACAAGGCTGTAGGCTAACTTCTTACCAAAGTAAACCAAGGTATGTTTCATCTTATGTTACTCGAAGTTAGATATGAATGTCGAATATGGGCATCTTAACTTTATTCTTGTAACAAAATTTTTATTTGTGTGACATTTATCATACTTGGAATCTTATTATAGCTGAGGCCTTCATATTTAGACAGAGACTTCAACCCCGGTTTTTTTCCCTCTAACGTGATTGAATTTAATATCCCACATGTCCAAACTAAAAAGATATAAAATAAAGAACCATAGATTGAACTTGTAGATCACTACCCTAAATCTTACCACTTCAGCTGGTTCTGCTAAAACATTGATGAAAAACTTGGCCTGAAAATGACAAAATATTAGAAAATTTCTTTTATAAACTGAACTAACAAAAGAAGCATATGAAGCATAGTAGACCTGCTTTGTGGTTGCACCAGACATTAGAAGATCGGTTGTCACCATTCCTGGCTGAAAGGTAGAAGATAAACATATGACAATATGAAAAAGGTTGAGAAATCTAACAGATATAGATAGCATCTATGTTAATGGAACTCAAACAAAAAATTCGAGTTAGTCGAGTCAATTAGACTTATTTTATCAACCAGACTTGATTATAAATTTTACCGAATCAAATCGAGCAAAAAGAAATTTGATTAGAGTCATATAAATCTATTGAGTTGAAATAAATATCTAACTATATTTAAGTATGACGTAGTATTTGTCCAATATGGATATGTTCCATTATTTCCTTTTTTTCCTTTTCAGGATTTTCATGAATTTGAAGGATCCAAGGAGGATCATATCCTCGAACTCATGTTTGGATATGCACTGGTCAGAGTGTCGAACAAAGATACTTCAAGAAAAATAAAAAGCCGAAGCAACATAGTGTATCCTTCTTTTCTGACAACATCTCACCTTTGGAACCCAAAAACAAGGTCTGTAAATTTTCATTTCTAAAACTTGCAAAACAAAAGAAATTAAAAGGGACGGTAGCAAAAACACATGGATTTAGGTAACAATGGAGGATACACAATCACAAAGGATGACAACAGAGTAAAGAAATAATTCTTTCAAGTTAGCACTGTAAACCAAGACACTAAGTTATGGAATAAAGCTTAAAATTATTATGTACATTCCTATTCACCTCATCATCTTTTCAATCAAGGCACACAATTTGTGTTGGTCGCCTAGATAAATTATCAAATTTTGAGGGGGGCAAAGCTAAAATGTTTTTGTGTTAAGGCCTAAATTGAATTATTAATTTTTAACATTAGCCAAAAGGGTTTAATTGCATTATTTATATTTGGGAGGGACTAAAGGTATACTTTTACCATTTAGCCAAGGGGCCAAGGCACCACCTCGTAACTCTTCACAATAACTTTGTAGCATAAGCTAAGAAATAAACTAATGGTTTTTTTAATTCTTTGCTTCGTGAACCTTTAAATCTGACTTGGGGCTATCCAAAACTTCTAAATGTAATCATCGGCCGAATGCCGTTGATATAATATTTTGCTCCAAGTCAGTTCTAGTGGCATCCTACTGAAAGGAAAGGTTAATCATCCTCCTATACTTTTTGTATTATTGCTGATTACTTGCATACCAAGGACCTGAAACTATGGGTGATATGTGACTAAAGTCTGACTGAAAGAGATTTATGAGAGAGACTACGTCTAGATTGGTTAGGCATATATCGAAATATAAATTTAGAAATACCGGTTTGTGTAAAAACAAATCCACAATGTTTAGCTTCTTTGGTATTCTGTTTTACGTATTTTCTTTGTGTATAACTAACTTATATTAGTAAAGCCTGCAAGGAACTAACATGAAAGCAAGAAATTTAGCCTAAATCACAGATGTAAGGCAGACTTAATATTGAAGACAGGATAAGAATAAAGAAGAAATATACAAGCATCATCGGAATCAGGGACGGAGGCATATAGGAGCTCACCCCAAAAAAAACAATTTTTTTTATCATTAAATAATATTGGGATAATTACCTATTTAGGCCTTTAAATTTTGATTTTACCCCCCCAATTTTTTTATCATTAATAATATTGGGATAAATACCTATTTAGGTCTTTAAATTTCGATTTATTTTGATTCCCCCTTTCTCTATTGTTAATTATACTTTGCCCCCTTGAACTAAAATCCTGGCTCCGTCCTTGATTGGAATGGAAATTAGATGATTGTTTAATGTAAAAACGTACCGATAGATTATGTATTACAACATTTTTAACATCTTGCATCTTCAGTTCAGCCTGTGAACAGATTAAAATATCAAACATTACAAATTCATTTCTGTAAGAAATGTCCTTACCAAAGAAGATAAATAAACATTATAGTCATTGAGAACATTCTTTACATGACTGATCACATAAAAAACATTACAAGAAAAAACAACAAAACAACAATCTGCAGACAAGATTATATATGCGTGTGTTATGTACACTCAAATGGAGCATACGATACGTACCATGCTCATTCTTTCAGAAACTAAACTATTCCTCTTTGAAATATCAGAAGAGAGCAACTTGAGAAAATCCAAACTCTACATCCAATCATTTTTTTGTAGGAAAAAGGTGCAAGGAATTTTTTTTCACCTAAGACATTATGTCAGCTCAACGCTCATTTTTCTGCCACCCTCTAAAATAACAAGTACACGTGGCATATGATTTGTCATTCTCCTTCATGCATAAAAGACAACCTGGATCCCACTTTATTCTTTTGTCTAGAATTCTACTGCATCCATGCATAATAAGTGCACGTACATTCCCTCACATATTAAAGCCTCTTTTCCAACGACGATGATGTACTTTGAGTCTCTTCAAAGTAACATTTCAAACGAAGACAGTCACTCTACTTAAGGCAATTTAGTTAACTATCATAGCCAAACTATCCCACCCACATGACGATAAGTTTTTTGCACCCCATTAAGAAAATATGCCATTAAAAATAAAAGGAACCTCAAGATGTTTCAAGAAGGAAAAATAGACAAAGTGATACTCAATTGTCATCGTGAATGAAAGAAAACAATTGAATTAGTTTCCTCACAAGAATTTATAGACTATAAGGCACTTTGCAAGACAAGCGGAACATGTACCTGCAGCGATTTTGTCAAATGAACCACGCTACGTTTGGTTGCACCATATGCAGCAAACCTGTGGAAAAAGAAGATGGATAATCAAACAAGGAAAAGGCGGAATTATATTAAGAAAAAGTAATGCATTCGCATGGGAGGATGGAAGTTAAGATATTTAATAAATCCTCCTATGTTATTAAGCTGCAATAACGGGAAGAAGACTCTATTAGCATTACATAAAAAAATATTTTAATATAACTTTCTTATCCTAGAAACGACATGCTAAGAAAAGCTTGTATGATAATGAAACAAGCCATACTCGAAAAACAATATCACTTAAATGAAGCATAAAAATTTAACACAACCCTGCTGTGAAGTAGTGATAAAGCAAGATATAGTCGAACAAAAGACATAACGTATGGCAATCGGAAAGTATAGTGCATGGTCAGATAATTCAAAATTGCCAACAAAACCGGGAAGGACTACTAGATGATAAGAAGCTGAGACAACATTATGGCAGGGCACAATGCAAGATATAGAGATATTCACTTAAACAACCCAAAATTTTTGGCCTACAGCCCACAGTAATTAAGTAAAAGAGGAATACCTAGGGGTTGGTCTTCCATCTGAACCAGCTCCATCAATGTTGAAAATATGACCACCTCGAGGCTGTTGCAACATCATCTTGATGGCCTGAGAGACAACTATGCATCATAACAGAACTAAAACAGTGCCAAGCAAGAAAAAATATACTATTTTGTTTTTACCTCACGACAACAAATCATCAACCCAAGGGTGTTTGTAGAAACAACTTCACTGCATAATGACAACCCATCTAATAAATCATTGAAAAAACATGCCGAAACCAGGGCCAAGACAAAAAAAAAGACAATATATGTATGCTCACATAAGATCTTCATCTGATGCTTCTGCCAGTGGTTTATAACTATATGCATTGGATCCTGCATTATTAATCTGCATCATTCTCAACATAGAGTAAGATTATAACATTGGAAGAGAAACTTTGCTAGAGTAATATGTAAAGCTTTGTACGAAAAAGAATATAAAATATCATAATCAAAAGGAAGGCGAATCTAAAAGAGAGAATTCATTTTACGGGTTGATAAAGACGTGTAACACAAGCATGTGCCATGATATAAAACCCAGAGTTGAGACAGAGTTTAGATCTGTAGCAACAACCATTAATGTTTGGGTACAACTACAAATGGAAAGTGTGCTGAAAGCACACCTTTTGCTCTTAAAAATATCATTTTTCATTACATCAAACTATGACAGAGGGTTCTATGGTTTAAACCAAACAATTATTTGCATGTTTATGACATTGTTGAAGTTCACTCACAAGTTTCAAATGGTAGCAGAAACTAAAAGAACCCATCATCAAGTTCCCACATAAAAAAAATGAACCATAAAAAATACACTTAGAGGGACCAAGATTAGACATAAATACCCATATGTCAATGTATCCCAGGTTCTTTTGAGCGAATAAAACTAAATTCTTCACATCCTCTGCCACTCTAACATCACACTGAGTACCCTGTGAACCAGATTGGTTCAAAGCAGCATTAAGCTTAAATTGGAGAAAATATCGGTGTGAAAAATGAAGTTAAAAGTATATAAGAAGAATTGGGAAGCCATAAAAACAAGTTATAGCAGATGTACCCACACACGTTCCCCATATTCTTCTCTGAGGCTCTTAAAAGCGGATTCCACCCCTTCAGCTGTCCAAATATTAATTAAGTGTAAAACTAGTTTAAAGGCGGAAAGATCGTAAACAAAATATGACCCAATAATAGAAAATATTCAACTGGAATACTATTAAACAAACATTTAAAAGATCAACAGGGGAAGACAGAATATGACAGGTCAGAAAGCAATTATATTAGTAGTCAGACACCAGAAGATAAGGCCTGCTGCAATATGTTCATGGCAAAACAACACATGACAAAAATCTCAATTCTCCTACAATATTACTCAGACTTGAGTGTAAGCATCTCATTCGAGCATGTGTTCAACATAAGTAAACATTTGGAGAATCAATGCCATATCCCTGTACTCGTATCCGATATAAGTTTAAGTTTAACAAGGTGTTGAACATGTGTACTTCAAACAGTACCAAAACAAAATGAAGAATGGAAGTACCAAATCTCTCTGATGCCCTTTATTTCGATATCTTCAAGAAAATAATTATTTTTTCACAACGTTTATCACGTAAAATAAAAAGTAGACGACTTTTAGCAAGTTAAATAATAGGTAAAATATATTGCAATGCAGCATAAGAGCTTTTCAGTGATAAGAATTGAGAAAAGCAGTAGAAATGTTACCAGATCTTGAACAAATGATGACATTGTCATCAGCTACCAGAAAGTTTTTCGCCAAGGCGTACCCTATTCCTGAAACCAATAAATTCGTTCATAGCTTTTCTAAAGAAAAAAGATAGGGAAATCGTTTTAAAGCTGTCTCTACAAATTATCTTCAACCTAAGTTTCTTCCAATCAAGAAAATCCAGGCCCTATCCACACCACACACATAAAAAAATAAGAGAGAGAAAAAGAAGAAGACACCTTTGCTTGAGCCAGTTATGAGAACGTTGTAAGGAGGAACCATGGGTTGCGTTTTTCCATTGATGGAAGCTTGAGCTTTTACTAGCAGTGGAGGATTGGAGAGGCTGTGGTTCTTTTGAAGTGAAACATTAGCTGTAAGGCTGTAAGACTGAAAATGGGAGGGTTTGGAGATGGGTGAGAAGATGATTGGATGAGCCCTTGAAGACCAAAAATCAGTGAAGAATTGGCAAGTTGAAGCAGTGGCCATGGATGATTGATTGAGTTTCGATGATTAGCTCCAATGCCTACACTATATCTGCTATTGCTTCATGTTTACCCACGTGGCGTGCTGCCACATTAAAACCTTACCAACCCATTTCCCTGGTGATTTTTTCGGAAAATCATCTAGCACCTTTATTTTCTTGTCAGACATCGTGTTGATTATATTTTTCGATCTAATACTATTTATAGAAAGATACATTCTTATACTGTGCTTTACTAATTTGACGCTACGTGAGATAAGACTCGTCCCTGCAACGTGCCTTATTTAACGTGTAAAAAAATTGAGTGTTAGTTTTATAAATAATTGTAAACTAATGTCTAATATGTAATTAATTTATATTAGGATAATATTTGTTTAAAAACGTTAATTTTATTTATTTATTTTTTTGTATTATTATTTTTAATAACACTTAATAATGTTTATTTACTTTTAAAATTAATTGTTTAAAATATTAAAATAAATCTTTAACTACAATTGAGAGATCAAATAAATTATTATTTATTTTTTTAAAATAAATAAATAAAAATTAAGTAAAAATGAATTAAAAATGCAATAAAATGCAATAAAATAAATATTAAATTTTAATTTTATTAAAAATGAATAAATATTATTAACTGTTGTTAAAAAATAAGAATTAATGAATAATAATTCATTTGATCCCTTAATTGTAATTAAAAATTTATTTTAATATTTTTTATATTTTTAAACAATTAATTTTAAAATACTCTATTCTCAAGATCTAAAGTCAAGTTTATGATTGTTAAACAGTTGTAGGTGTGGAAAGTTACATGGATCGAATGAAAATCCGATCGTACAAAGTCAATAACTCAAAATTGTCTAACTGTTATCTTAATATCAACTCAATTGTACCACGAATATACATCCGATCAAAGAGTTGATCTTTTCTGCTCAATCTTCACAAAAATTGTTTTGTCTCATCATTTTTTCCAGCGTATAAGCTCATTTCTTTTTATAACATTCATGCAAAAGAATATACGTATTGTGTAATTTCATGCAAAAATCAAAATTTGTCGAGTTATAAAATAATTTACAAAAGAATATTTAAAAGTATTTTAAAATATGAATATTTTTATAAAAATTTTATAATTATTATTTCTTTTACAAAATGATGATGATAATAATAATAAATATTTTATAATTTAAAAAATTATAAATTTCATATATTTTTAAAAAATTTATTGACTTTTAAAACTAATTGTTTAAAAATATAAAAAATATTAAAATAAACTTTTAATTACAATTGACTTTTGCAATAAAAGTCACTCTACTTTTTTTTATGCACGTGGATAACTATATTCAACAGAAAATAATTTAAAAGGAAAGGAGCATATACGAGGGAGAAAATGATGAGACAAAACAGTTTTTGCGAAGATTGAGCAGAAAAGATCAACTTTTTGATCGAATGTTTATTCGTGATACAATTGAGTTGATATTTAGACAACAGTTAGAAAATTTTGAGTTATTGACTTTGTACGATCGAATTTTCATTCGATTCCTGTAGCTTTCTACACGTACGACTGTTTAACAATCATAAACTTTATTAAAATAAAATTTTAATTACAATTGAGAGATCAAATGAATTATTATTCATTAATTATTATTTTTTAACAACAGTTAAAAAAGTTTATTCATTTTTAATAAAATTAAATTTTAATATTTATTTTATATTTTTTAAAATTAATATTAAAAAATATTTTAAATAAAGATATGATATTTATTTAGCTTTACATTATATTTTTATTGAATTTTATTCATTTTTAATTCATTTGTATTGTATTTTTATTTATTTTTTAAAAAATGAACAATAATTCATTTAATCTTTCATTTGTAATTAAAGTTTATTTTAATATTTTAATATTTTTAAACAATTAATTTTAAAAATTAATAAACATTATTAATTGTTGTTAAAAATAATATAAAAAATAAATAGATAAAGTTGGTGTTTTTACACAAATATCACTCTAACTGAAATTAATTACATATTAGGCACCAGTTTAAAAATATTTATAAAACTAGCACCCGATTTTTTACACATTTAACAAGACGCGTTGCAGGGGGCGCTTACCCCCACGTGACATAAAGCTCGGTGCAGGGTGCGTCTTTTTGAAAAGGGTATTAGATCGAAAAATATAGTATGAACGGTGCCTGACATGAAAATAAAGGGAGCTAGGGTAATTTTTCGAGAAAATCGCCCATTTTCCTCCAATTTTTCTTCGAAAATAAATTATTAATTCCTATTTTCCCTTCAGTTGATCCCTCAATTCCTCCTTATTAATCCATAAATTTATAATTTTTATATTTCTTATGACGTAATATTTTGAGACTGTGCTGTAAATTAGAGTGTTGCGTTATTAAAATGATTAAAAGTTTATATTCAAAGTTAATATAAATAAAAATAAATAAAAATTAATTTCATCATGTTTAGCTCGCTGCAAAACTTGAAGCACTTCATGATGAATATATTAGTTTTCTGTGGAAAAATGTGCCTCTGTGCTGAGAGAGTTCCATTTGGCTGTAGAGACAATTACAGGTTAATTCTTTTTTCATATAATCAATTCATGTGTTTTTTTAAACTAACTCGTATTTTGGATAAAAATTTTGGTCTGACATAATTATTTCATTTATCTTAAACGTACTGAGAGAATTTTGAATTTTGCAACAAATGGACTATGTAGAATAAAACACTTAAATGGCTGATTCTATCTTCTACATTATGCAGATGTTTTACTTGAAAAGGGAGAGATTAAAGCAGAAGAAATCTGGGATATATACAATAGGGCACCTCGAATATCTCAGGTAGGTTTCGATCCAAGGAATGATATGCTTAGGGAAAATGTAAATGCATGGACTGAAATTTTGGTTTTATAGGATGGTTGTGATTTACTTATTCAAGCATTACTTGTCGACTTGTATACTTGCAGTTTAAATGGTAGAATGCTATATTGTTGTGATTTACTATTCAAGTTGTATCTTGCATCGCTTTTGGTGATTGCATGATTGATGCTTTTGCCCATTGTACAGCCTACTGTTAATCCAGTTGAGGAATATGGAGCCCTGATTTATTCCGGGCAATGGGGAATCCATGGGAGGGTTACCTTTGCACCTGAAAATTCTGGATTTTCAACTTTCGGTGCACCACGTCTTATGGAGGCAAGTTGGACAGATTTTTATTTTATTTGGTTATATATTTCATTTATGAGCTCTGGCAACAATGAGTTGATCACTTTTCCTCCGTCTCCTTTCAGGAGTTGATGTTATGTTGTTTTTGTTTTAAGTAATGTGGTTCCCTTTAAATTGTACAATATTTACCAAAAACAAAGTACACTTGAATAATATTAACAACAACAACAACAACAAAACCCTATTCCCAATATGTAATGGGGTAAGGGGGAGGTAGGGTAGTAGGCTGCCCTCAACGCCAGGTTGAGAGCAGTTTCCGTGGAAGACCTCCGGCAGTCAGAAAATTAAAAATAAAGATAAAATATAATGCATGTATAAATAAATCAATAAATACATTGTTGAATAATCTTCATATGAGCGTCTGAAATGGGAAGTAATCCCTGTCTAAAAAATCTCTGCATATAGACAGAAACATAAGTCTTGGCTAAATTTAAAAAGAGGAAACATGAAGAGAATGATACACGGAAGTCAGCGATAGCAAGCTACGAGAAGGAATAAAGTCTAATGGGTTAGAACCTAAACTAAGGCAACACTACTCTGATACCCTAGTTCTAATCCTTCATAAAATCCAATGACAGAAACGTATAAAAAGTAGAGGTCATGAAAATTACTACAAAGGCAATTTAAAAAAAAGACAGAGATGCTACACCCTATGGCTGTGACCCACACTACTCGGCTACCATGGTCTTTAGTTTCCATACTTTCCTATTAGAGGTCATGTCCTCGGTAAGGGCTAAATCCTTCAAATCAGATCTCAAGCAGTCTACCCACTTCCTCCTTGGTCGTCTTCTCCTTCTGACACCGTTGACTGTAATCGACTTTACCCTCATGACCGCATCCGACGATTTTCGCCTAAGGACATGCCCAAACCACCGTAGCCTTCCCTCCCTCAATTTTCGGATACATGTACCTCCCCCAAGGACATCCTAATTGTAGAGTTTGGTGTCATGTCCCACAAAGTCCAACCGCGTGCCCATCAAAACATTCTCATTTCTACGGCCTCCATCCTCCTTACGTGATCCTTCTTGATTGCCCAACATTCTGATCCATACAACAACACTGGTCTTATTGTCATTCTATAAAATTTTCCCAAGTTTTAGAGGCAGCTTCTTGTCACACAAAACTCCAGTAGCAGCCCTCCACTTTAGCCATCATGCCTTTATACGGTGTGTAACGTCATCATCTACACCCCCATCTTTATGTATCATAGACCCTAGGTACTTGAAATAATCCTTTGAGGGGAGAATGTGTCCTTCGATGCATACTTCTACATCTTCATCGTTTTGGTTTCCACTAAAGTTTGAACATAAATACTTTGTCTTTTCAATATTGATCCTTAGACCATTTTCTTCCAAAGTAGTCTTCCAGGTAGTCAGTCTACTATTCAGCTCAATTTTTGTTTCATCAACTAGGACAATGTCGTCAGCGAAAAGCATACACCATGGAACACCGTCTGGTATCGCACAATAGATGTCGTCCATAATCAAGGCGAAGATGTAAGGGCTAAGAGCCAACCCTGGTGGAGTCCGATTTCCACCAGGAAAGTCTCGGTGTCGCCAACTGTAGTTCTGACGTATGTAGTAGATCTACAATACATATTACGAATCGCCCGGATATAAGCATTTGGGATCCGTCTCGTTTTCAAGGTCTTTCAGATCGTATCGCGGGGTACGCTATCATACGTATTCTCAAGGTCAATGAACGCCATGTGAAGATCTTTATTTTTTTCCCTATATTTCTCCATAAGCCGTCGAAGTAGATGAATCGCCTCCGTAGTAGATCTATATGGCATAAAGCCAAATTGGTTTTCCGAAATCCTAGTAACATGTCTCAACCTAACCTCTATCACACTTTCCCATAGCTTCATGGTATGACTGAGTAGTTTAATACCTCTGTAGTTACCACAACGTTGGGGATCTCCTTTATTCTTATAGATTGCTATCACCGTAGACTCTCTCCACTCCTCTGGCATCTTGGTAGTCTCTAAAATAATATTAAAGATGTTGGTCAATCACTTAACTCCCTCTTTTCCTAGGATCAACCACACAGTGATTGAAATTTGATCTAAACCGATAACTTTGTCCCTTCTCATCTTTCTAAGAATAATTTTACTTCCTCAACCCCAATCCTCGATATGAATCACACTATTTACAGCAAATTTTAATTTAATATTTACATATTTGGAATTCAAAATGAGAATTAAATATAAAATTATAACCGTCAAATCCATTTTTTCGTTAAATATTAGTATCCATGATTCGATTGATAATATTTATTCAAAAAATAATATTTAAATAATTAAATAGTGACAAAATCAAAAGATTAGTGACCAACACTGGTGGGCTTACCCAATTTCAAAATCAAAACTAACATTCTTTTATCTGTAACCAAAAAAATAAAAATTAACGAGTTAAACTGGCAAAACTTTCGAGATAATGTTCTAAAATAAATTAATTTACGAGTTAATGCACTCCTAAGATTAATTGCTCAAATAGGGTGAAATCCACAGTGTTGGTCGTAGGTTGCCATGCACTCCGGGCGACCTTGTAGGTCGCCGCCATGCACTCCGGGCGACCTACCTTTACTCAAACAGAGAGAATGAACGTGTTGCATGGCACATGCACGTCCCAACACATAGGTCGCCATGCCCTCCGGGCGACCTACCCTCGCTCGGATTCCCTCGCATAGCTCGCTCGGTTGCCCTCGCATAGCTCGTTCGGATGGCCTCGGTCGGATGGCCTCGGATGCTCTCGGATGGCCTCGGATGCTCTCGGATGCTCTCGGATGGCCTCGGTCGGATGGCCTCAGATGCCCAGCGTGTTGGGACGTGCATGGCACATGCAATCTCTTGTAGCTTGCCGGGAAGACATGACGACCTACGGTCAACACTGTGAATTTCACCTTATTTAAGCAATTAATCTTAGGAGTGTTTTATTTGGTGAATTAATTTTTTCCATAACATTAGGTTAAACTAGATGCCACTGCTTGAAATCGATGTACGCATGAGTCGCGTTTTCGCTCCGTCCTACGGTTACAAAACAAACATAAAAAAACCAGCGATGATGTTGGGTTGGAAAATGGCGTTGAGATTACCTCCAAACACTCTCACCACCTTCATTTCTCATCGTTTGCTGCCTTCATTTTCCCACTGTTTCCTTTCATCTCCTTCCCTCAACCTTCCCAAACTGGAGCCTTCAAATGAAGCCGACACCCTTTCTCAAATCCTCCTCACCCACCACAACCCTTTCCATTTCATGGAATCTTCCCTCCAAATCCACGGCGTCTCCCTCTCTCCCTTCCTTCTCCACCAGACCCTCCTCCGCCTCCAACACTCTTCCAAAATTGCCCTCTCATTTTTCCTCTTTTCCAAATCCCTCCCTCCTTCCCCCTCTCCCCTCCTCTCCACCAGCTCCTACAACCTCATCATCGACATCCTCGGGAAAGTCCGTCAGTTCGACGTCGTTTGGCAGCTCGTCCTCGAGATGGACCAATCCGACATTTCCCCCGATTCCTCCACTTTCACGATTCTAATCCGTCGCTTGATCGCCGCTGGCTTCACCCGTCAAGCCATTCGCGCTTACGATGATATGAGGTGTTTTGTTACTGCTGGAATCGACACTGACAGATACAATCACAGTCAAAACGATTCGTTTTGCTTCTGTTTCCTTCTCGATACGCTCTGTAAATACGGCTACGTGAAGGTGGCTGTTGAGATTTTCAACGAAAGGAAATCAGGGTTTCGTGTTGATTCTAAAATGTATACTATCTTGATAAGCAGGTGGTGCAAGATTGGCAGAATCGATAAGGCGGAGAGGTTCTTGGAAGAGATGATGGAAAGAGGAATGGAACCCAATGTCGTCACTTACAACGTAATGTTAAACGGGATTTGTAGGAGAGCCAGTTTGCACCCTGACGAGAGGTTTGATAGGACAATTCGGAATGCAGAGAAAATGTTCGATGAAATGCGCCGAAGAGGGATTGAGCCTGACGTGACAAGCTTTTCGATCGTATTACATGTATACAGCAGAGCACATAAGCCCGAGTTAACGTTTGATAAATTGAAGTACATGAAGGAGAAAGGTATTTTCCCAAGTGTGGCTACTTATACTTCAGTTATCAAATACCTTTGCTCGTGTGGGAGGCTCGAGGAGGCGGAGAAGTTGCTCGGTGAGATGGTGAGTAATGGGGTTAGTCCTTCGGCTGCAACTTATAATTGTTTCTTTAAGGAGTATAGAGGCAGGAAGGATGTCAACGGTGCTTTGAAATTGTATAGGAAGGTGAAGGAAGACAAATTATGCGAGTTGAGTTTGCATACATATAACATCTTACTTGGGATGTTCATGAAGTTGGATTGAATGGAAATCGTTAGTGAAATGTGGGAGGATCTTAAAGGAATTACACCAGGGCCTGATTTAGATTCTTATGCATTGTTGATCAACGGGTTATGCGAGAAGCAAAAATGGAGAGATGCATGCCAACTTTTCGTGGAAATGATAGAGAAGGGTTTACTTCCTCAAAAAGTAACATATGAGACATTGTACAAGGGTTTAATCATGGTTTTCAAAATCGGAACGGTTAGCGAACCGGTTATGCTATCAGTTCACTGGTTTAATCAGTCGAATCGGTCCGACCGGTTAAAAGAACCGGACGACGTCATAATTATTTAAAAAATTAAATAAAAATACCAAAAATATTTAATAAAAAATATTTTTTTATATCACAAGTCATATTCAAAGCAAGTCATAACATATATAAGTTAAAAACCATAAAATCAAGTGAAACAAAATGATTTAAATTAACTACAACATAATATTTAAGGTAAAATATATTAAATAATAAATATAATTTTATATAACTATAATTAAAAAATAAATTTGGGGTTAAAAAATCATAACAAAATAATATTGTTTGGTTTAATTTTTTTTTTAAAAACATTCACACATGGCTAAGAAACATAGAAGATCATCCCAAAAGTCTAAAGAGTAAAAATATGAGAACAAAACAATCTCACATTGCTAAGAAACATAGAAGCGCATCACAATTAACTTCTATTAATAATAGAGGTAATTTGACATTCAAAATCATGGAACCTTTTGGTGAGCATTGAATGAACTATTCTTTCATTTCAATCAAACTCGAATTTTAGGCTTCAATCGAGCTTCTAATTTTTTTTTGAGTTCAAACCTTTTTGATTTCAAGTTTCAATATTATATTTCGAGTTTGAGTTGAACTTGATAATTTTTAGCTTGTGAGTTTGAGTTGAGCTTACTTTTAAAGTTTTCAAGTTCGAGTCGAGCTCAGCAATACTCGAGTTCGACTTGGCTCGTTTAACAAACGACGTTGTTTGGTTTAATTTTTTTAAAAAAACAAAAAACAAAAATCCTGATTTTTTTTCGATTTTCAGCCTGTTCGGTTCGAACGGGTTTAGCGGTTTTGGTCGGTTCACTAATAGCGATTCAATCGGTTTAGATTAAACCGAACTAAACAATAATTTTCGGTTGAACCGGACTATCCGATCCAATTTTAAAAACAGAGGGTTTAATACAGTCTAATATGTTGAGGACTTGGAGACGGTTAAATAAGAAATTTGACGAAGAATCAATAACCTTTGGTTCCGAGTTTCAAGATTATCATTTCAAGCCATACAGGAGATAAGTTCACTTCTTCCTTTTTTTTGGTTAATTGTATGTTAATTGCTTTTTCCAGATCATTATAAGGGTTCGTTTGGTTCATGGAATGTAAGATTACCAGTGGTAATAGAATTATCGGCGGGAATAAAATTACTGAGAATATTGTATTTTGTGTTTGGTTCGTTTAGCAAAAATGTAAGATTACCGGGTTTGATTAAAGGAATAAAAGATTATTGGAATGTATATTTTACCAAATTGTTATTATTATATATTTGTTTTTTAACAAGTTGAATTCTACTATAATATTACTATAATTAATTTGTATATTTTCTTTAAAAAATTTAAATTTATCAAATTTATATAATTTTTTACAAAATTGAAAAGATAAATTGGTTTGATGAAAGGATAAAATTTTATTTTAACCTCTGAACTTCATATAAAATTCTAATTATAGATTTTTTTTTAAACCTAAAATAGTTTAAAGATAAATTTATAATTTAACTTTCGTAGAATTCTTTTTATTCAAAGACAGTATAAGGATATTTTTGAAAAAAATTTAAGGGCATTTTAGTCTAAAACGCCGATAATCCAACAATACCTAAGAGAATAGAGATATTTACATTTCCGGTAATATATCCCCAAAATATCATTGTTGGGAATAAAAGATTATCGGGGCTGGGAATGTTGGCCAACCAAACGGAAGAATGAGATTTCAATCTCCCGATAATCTCATATTACCTAAACCAAACACCCCCTAAGGTTAATAAATATCACTAATGTGCCTCAACCTTGTTCCCAATGCTACAATTGCAAACTAGACCGGTCAGATTGATGTCTTCTTAAATTTTTGGATTCTTGCCTTACTAATTTTAGGTCATTTTCGTTATTAACCAATCGGGTTTAACACTTGGATTATTCAACATAATGCAACAGTGATTAAGCAGTATTCTGGTAATCAAATGATATATGGCAATTCGAAAGCAGCAAAACAAGGTCCGAAGAATTGTGACATGAATAATTGTGTAAGCGTTGATTGTCATGAATATGTATAAGTAAAATTAGGAGCTTATATCAACATGTTGCCAACTGCCTAAATCAACAAAACACCACAAATAACCTAAATCTAATGAGAAGATGGTATGTTCCATACCAGGATTCAAATTATCAGTCAAGTAATCGGTTTCCAAAATCTGACAGTTGATCAACTCCAAAATCTACCTGCAAAGATTATACCCCACCGCCGAACTAATTGATTTCTCCACTAACCTTGTCTATCACAAACTCAAAGATCATATGTATGATCAGCTTTAGAGACTATAGTTCAAATTTCCTTGATTGTACCTGGTTCCGAGATGGAGCACCATAAGTAACAAAAAAGAACTGTATTGGCGTTCAACTTGAAAAGGTCCTCCCAAGTCTTGCAGCGGCACTTTCAGAGCTAGGGGCAATCATCAAATTTCCACCATCAGACATGTAGAAATTGTTGTAATTAATTCTAGTAACCAGATCAGCCAAATGAGGCAAGTGCCTGGGGGTGTAAAATAGCCGAGTCGAGCTCGAGTATTGCTGAGCTCGACTCGACTCGAAAACTCTGAAATGGAGCTCGACTCGACTCGAAAACTCGCGAGCTTAAAATTTTCAAGCTCGACTCGAATTCGAAATCCTGAACTGAAGCTCGTGAGCAGCTCGAAAAGGCTCGAAATGAAAAAAAAAAATTCTTAAACTTAACTCGATTAAAGCCTCAAACTCGAACTCGAACATAAACCTTAAATACATGAAATCTTACTGTATTTTTTTTTAAAAAAATCAATACATAAATATTAATATTATTATTAATTTATTTTTTTTAAATAAAATCTTAATATATTATATTTTCGAGCTGCTCACGAGTTTTTCGAGTCGAATATCGAGTAGCTCGTTTCAGCTTGTTAAGAACTCGAGTTGAGCTCAAGCTCTAGTCGAGTCCATTCGATCCGAGTATTTATCGAGCCTTGATCGAGTCGATCTCGAATAACTCGTAATCTGTCTCGTCTCATTTACAACCATACAAGTGCCCCACATTGAGCTTAAAAGACAACCTGCATTTTGAAAACAAGCCTTTGAATTAGGGAATCCAATTGAGGATATTATCTCTACGAACGCATATTTAGCATCCTCAGCAAACATGAATGAGATTTAAACTATAAAAACCCTGAATTAAAAAAAAAGGCTGACACAACCGAGAAGGACTGGAAATTACTCTAAGGAGGAAAGCAATGCAATCGTCAAACTGCTTCTCAACCCGATCTACTTCCATTTGACATCTGGCCTTAATTGCAGAAACCGCTCCACCGCTGCTTAAAGTCTGCCGTAGGGAGTAGAAGTCCAGAGCTAGTGAAAGAATGCTGTTAATTCGGCTTGCCATCATAGCCCACTGAAAATCAAAGAGACAATCAAGCAATAATCAAACTTCATTCCTCAAAACTTTTTAACCTACACAGTGCACACAATTTTTTAGATCACAAACATAAAAATGTATGAAAATCTTACCAGCTTATCTGGAGCCACAAAGCATTGCCGATGAATTGTTAATAAGTAGGTCTCATGTACCTCTATAACCTCATCTAGGGACCCAGCTGCTGCCATTCCCTCACAGAGTTCAGGCCATGCACTGTTATGCACCTGGTTTCCAAAAGGTAGTCAGAGATCTGAAAAGCCACCAAAGTATCATACCACTTAAATGCATTAAAGGTACATAGAGGCATTCAATTTAGATGGTCCAAAAGCATTCGATTAGTTATCAAGTCGGAAGTTCAAAATTTTATTAAGATATGCTTAATTTGAAACTCCAACCAAGAAGGATTTTAGTATTTCATTTGAGGAAATTTTCTGAAGAGACGGTATAATTATATCTAAAGAGTGATGAAAGCATGATACATGTGGCCTAGTGATTCTACAATAACGAAAGTTAAAGCTAACAACTCCACACCTTTAAAGTGAAATTATCTACCATTTCCAGGTCACTGCTTGTTTCTAAATTTCTACTTTACCTAAATTGTTAATACATCAATCCTTCAGAAGCTATGCCCTGAGCCATTTGTGTACAGCGCAATTTAACTGCATATTCCTTTTTATATTCAGATAAGATGGTTGCTACTTGTCCTTTCTTTCCATTTTTCGTTTGTGTAATAACAGGAAATCTTCCCGAATGTTTATTGGACAATCAATCAGCCCAAAAAATTACATAGAACCAGAAAGAGGGGGGGGGGAATTTATTATAAGGACATTGATATTGAAATAAAAAAGGAAACGTTGATAAAATCATAAAATAAACAAAATCTCAATCCAATTTTCAAAAAAAGAACTTACTCTGTCCATCACATACTGATGAAAGGCATCAACAAAATGGAGAAGTTTTTGCTCCACTAACCAATGACGCTTGTGGTTGTTTCTTACAGTGCCTTTATCCTGGAAAGGCATCACATAAATAGTGACAACAGCAAGATTGGTTCTCACAACCACAAGTTTACGGTTTCTTTTTGAATGTGCACTACAATGGAGAAAACAATGATTATCTGATAGACGAGCACTGTAAAAAAAAAAATTAAACAAACCTTCCACATCCTTCTCCGAGCTTTATCAAGTGCAAACTTCGCCCGCTTGACCTTCAGCAAGAATGCCATGACCTACATTGCAAAAAAATATTTGAGAACATGCATATTTCCAGATAACACCACCTCACAACCAACATGAGAATAGTACCTGATTATACTTCTTGCCTCTGAATTAGCTATCAGTTCAAGAGGCCAAGAGACTTGCCACGTCCAGTACATGTATATAAAGGACATGATTCACTTGTTAAGCATTGAAGTTTTTTTTTTTTTTGTGTCGGGGGGAGGGGGGACTATGGTCTCAAGAGCTGACCTTGTAGGTGAATTTCAGAGAATCGAGGCTATCAATTCCATAGCTTTCTGTACAACTTTTACGAGGAGTTGAAGCAACAGTAACATTATTTGTTGGCTCATCACCATCAAAACCATGAGTCTTGGAAATGGACACCACCAAAGACTCTGGTGCACTCAATAACGTGCCATCAGCTGAGTTTCTAATAGATTCCTGTAGCTTATAAGGTTATATAACACCATCCCAGTGGAAGTAATAAAGAAATAAGCAAGTGAAAAGCAGACAATTGTACATAGCATGACTGAGATCAGCAATTGCAACTTTCAATGTGTGAAAACGCAACGAATTAAGCATCCCAAAGCATTGAAGGATGGTGAAAAACTAAATCATTAAAAAAGTTACCTGAAATATTGTGTTCAACTAGAAATCATCATCCCAGGTTTCTCCTCTATCTAGCTTATTAAATGTCAACGTTAAAAAGTGTTGCAGCAAATCACCTGAAGATAGTAAGGTGTGAGGGAAATGTCAGAGAAATAGAATATGGTACACAGAACTAACAAGTATATGGCGACCAATTTGCAATAGAAGTCAACAAACCATATAAATACCTGAACCTAATAAGTATATGGCACGCAGCACTGCAAGCTCATCCATTAATCTCCAGCCATTCATTAACTTCCACAGAATAAGGATGCCAATATAATCAACCTATGACATCAAATCTAAACATATTAAAATTATGAAAACTTTCACATTAAAGAAATAAGAGAACAACAAAAGCATATTTCAGCAATTTACCTGCTTCTTGATGTACACAGTGAGACATTCCTGCATAATAACCATAGGAAGTGGGGTAGTTCTTGGTTGAACAGTTTGAATCCAGCTAAGTAATCTTGATGAAAGGGTGCTATTCTTCTGGAAAGGCAATAGCTTGGACATGCTGATATCATCCTGTTTCCAGATTCGGTTACATTTGAAAAATGTTTGCATGGGGTTTGCGGTACATATTGAGTTTAAAAAACATTTGTCTAGTACTACCTTTATAGAAGGAAGAAGAGTAGGAAAGGGTAACAAAACTTCCAGTAACTCAGTGTCATGTTGGGCATGAAGATGTTCCGATTCACCAAACTGGAAACCAGACTTATAGTTTGTTCCATGAGGTCCAGAAAAAACCTCACTTTTCTCTCCAAA